TAATGGGGCTTGAATTAGTGGGCTGGACCCACGGACGTCATATAAAAAAATCGTGGCTGGACCCCTAGTTGTGCGGGGCGCTTTCCAACAGAAATAAAACAACTATCGATCACTGACGTCTTGGGCCAAGACTAGGGAGCAGTCCACTATAACTCAAGCGAAAATTTCCGGCGAGCTCATTAGGGTGCAGTCCATTTACTCAAGCGAGAATTTCCGGCCACCTCATTAGCATTAAAAGTGCCCCCGCATTATCTTTTGAAAAAGGAGATTGTATGGCCCCCAAAATGGTGAGATTGTGTAAATCTTTGCCAGAATCAACTTCCTGGGTCTTTGGGCTTTCATCTGAGAGCAGAGTGGCTAAAAAAAACACTGTTGAAAAATAGTCCTAAATGCCCGAGAAAGTTGAGGGTTGTCACTTGAAAAAATGGCTGCAATCAGACTTTGGAAAAATCACTTTTTGGGGGGTAATGTTGTTTTTAGAGAATAACTGAAACTGTAATCGGTTCACCCACAGACATTTGAAAAGAAAGTAAAAGATTATGGACCATACATACAATCATTTAACGTGTGTTTCAGATGCCTCAGGGATGTTGGTACGCATATTATTGTGCCCGAACACTGTTTTCAATGGCGCCTGAATTAGTGGACTACACTCACATGTGCGAACGAGGTTGATGTACTAGACGAGAAGGGTGCACCCTCGTGTTTAGGCCAGAAATATGTCCGCCGAGCTCATTAATAAAAGTTGTAGACTCAAAATATTTTATTGTCGCGGGTTCGCCGTCGAAACGGGCAAATTAAAGGGCAGTCACACAGATCTATACTTAATTCACAGCTGGTTTAATTCCGGGCACAGATCCGAACGGTCCAAGTTCAGAACACGAACTCTCTATCTACAATCTAGCGTGGCTATTATACAGGTTGGGCTTGTTTTCACAAAGTATTAAACAAAACATTCCATCACAACATTTAGTCACATAAGGTAGAACAAAACAGCGTGCCGCGTAAAGAACATTAGTGTCTCACGCTCACCGCAAGAGGGCCGCTAGCGCGACCAAGCAAGCAAGTGGTTCAGACAGCGCGCACGCGGCGGTAACTCAACTGTGCACTGTCAATGCACGCTGGAGACGCGACGTGAACGAACTAATAATCGCAGAGCGCTGTCAGGTAATAATACCAGAAATAACTAATAATCATTAACTAATAACCGATCAACAGTTCATGTTGAGTAATTTCACAACACTATATTAGAGGGTCCTGAGAGCCATGGAACTGGGGAATTGAAGAAATCTGCGGCTGAACCTCTGGGCTTCCAATTCTGAGCAATTTGGATGCAATAGTGTCCGAAAGTGGCACTATTTGAGCCATTTTGCAGGGGGGTGGTTTTTCAAAATGGATATTTTTCTGGACAGGGACTTTTCATCATTTTAGGGGTGGTCTGCTTCTGGTAAAAATTTATCAAAAATTCATTGGTCAACCCCCCAAAAATTGAAAGGAAAATGAAAGGGGACATGTGGAACATCATTTTTCTGTGCAGAGTTGTGAGTATTTTTAAAATATTTGTGAAGTATGGGGATTTATCACTGCTGTCTATGGGAATTTATTTGTAGTGGTGCACCCAGTAGGGTTGCACTACACTAAAAGTGCACTACTCAATTAAAGGGAAATTCTTCGCCAGGCGCAGGCGCTTAAAGGTACCACTAACAGTTTATTTCAAAAAGAGGAGATTGTGTTGCCCAAGAAAATTGTGGAATTGTGGAAGAATGGCCCAGAATGAACTCCCTAGATTCGAAGGCTCCCGTCCAAGGGCAAAGCATGCAAAATGGTCCTGAAAAATTGTCCCAAGAGCCTAAAAAGTGGAGGGGTTTTAATTTGAAAAATGGCCACTGACAGACTTGGAAACGTTCACTTTTGGAGGGGGTGATTGTTTTTTTTTATGGATAAATAAAAATTTCATTGGTTAACCTACTAAAAATTGAAAATCAATTGAAAGCTGAATTCCCCAGAAGACTTTGGTTTTGTTTGAGAGGCCAGAGGGACTTCGATTGCTCACACCGGGGCTGCAAACGTGATCGATGTTACATTTTTTTCAATGGGGCTTCAATTAGTTCAGTGCACTCCTATATCAGATCGAAGTAGCGCCGCCTGTTGACTCTCTTGAAGAGGTTCAAGTTAGCTTCCGTTTGTTTGTCTTTTCCACTGGAAATTCAAGATTATGGCCAGAAGATTGCTTTTCATTTCAGTTTTTTTGGGGGGAGCTACGAATTTTTTTTATTCGCCTTTCCCTGAAGATATCCCCAAAATATAAGTAAAACTGTGCGCTCAGCTCTAAATGTAGCCGCCCGCCTCTACCCAATCAAATTATGCCCGCAATTTGAGGCATTTTATGAAGGAAATACCCCATACTGGAAATTGTGATCCCAAAGTCGAAATTTATAGAAATATGTCTACGATCTCTCCTGATTATGGCATGTCTTATTGTAAAAACCCCGTGGGATCACAAAATATTAATGAGCTCGTACGCAGAAATACGACCATTTGGTGGAATGCACCTCTAGCGGGTTGCCGCGCTTCGCGATCATGGGTTTATTGAGCTGAGATGGACAATTGTGAGACTAATTATGCTCAAATAAAGAGACTTCTACTAGAGTGTAGACCAAAAAAAGGGCATTCGAGAAATAGGAAGCAGTGTGACAACAACTCATGTCTTCTTTTCGGAATATAGCGGTGCCCGGCCATTAGTTTGACGGGAGCGAAGTCTGCTGGGTGCATGCCCTGTTTCATTCGACGTTCTTAGGATAGATACGGTTTATTGGGCTGAATAGAATGCAACGCGTACGTTTCGACATTTTTTTTTTACATCTCCCTCTTCAACAGTAAAAGCAGGGCTCCTGCACAGAGGTTCATTCCAGTGTAATAGTATCGACATCAAAACGGTGTCTGCATCATTTCTATTGGCATGATTGAGAATATAGAAATTACATATAGATGAAACTTTATTCACCGAAAACGTACACACAAAGACAAAAAATACGTTCGGTTAATATATCCAAGAATGTAACAAATGTTACAGAGGTCTCAGATGTATAACGATGTTTTTGAGCTGTCTCTCCTAGTACTTTTCACATGAACTGACATTAGCCTAAGGATGTGAAAGGCCCATTAGGGTTTTGTGGTATTAGAAAAATGGTGTTCCAGGGGATGTCTAGCTAGCCTGGCCCGTATTTTAAGTGGTGAATCTGGGCAAAATATGCGGGGGAACACCTCTGCTTTGTAGATGACAGCCTAATGATGTCTAGAAAAAGTCAAGCTTAATTTTGTCTGAAGGAACTGTTACCGTTGTTTGATTTACTTTGTCGGCATTGTGGACTTTCGAGATTTTTAAATTGTTATTGAAATTTTGTTAGGTACATGTACTTTAAGCACGAAATAACTTG